AGAAATGGAAAAAATGGAAATAAAGTCTTTGTAAATAGGGAAGGGTGGAGGGCGTGAAGGGAGGGCTAGGAATGGGGAAAAAATATGCACCAAGATGCATTATGTAAAGGTACAATTCCCAATGAGAAATTTAATTGTGTTGTATACCTACAATGTACCAATAAAAGAATTTAATACAAAAAAAAAGAAATTAGAGCAGGCTTTTTATCATCATTGACAAGTAATGGGACTTTTGCAGACTTTGCTGTTGTTTCATGAGGCAATATTAAAAGTCCCTCAGGGGAAGTCATTACAGGAAGAACTTAATGTGGTATAAAGGGAATTTATCATAATTTTTCATGATCTGCTTTGGTTTTGGCTAAATCACAAACTAAAACATTAAGCAAGCAAGTTTTTTTTTTTTTTACTGGAAGAAGCCAAATGCCAATAAAAATTTTTTAAAAAGAGAAATGGAAGTAGTGCCAGTGAAAATACAGAAAAGAGGGCTGATTGGAAGCTTTAGGACATGTTACTGATAGTACTGTGTGACAATTGCCTGTCAGGGAGCAGAGCTTGGGAAGGAGTCGGAGAGGATGACTGGGAATCTGTTTCTTATTGCCCGGTGGACATGAACTGACACATGATCCATTCCAAATAATACAGTTAATATAGTATCAGACTCTCTACAGAACAAACCTAGTAAATAATCATATAACATTCACTGTGATTTAGAATCACTGAAAGCTCTTCTTAGCTTCATAATTTGTTTCATTTTTATTAAAACAAATTTATAAATAAATGAAAACCTGTACCAGGATTAGAAAAGTTAGGAGGAATTTTTTGTGAGATATTAAAATTTTGCTTTAAATTTATTTTTTTTAAGTATTTTTAATAAAAATTTGCAATTATATACAAAATTAAATATAGAATAGTAATAAACCCCATGTAGTCTCATTCAGACTCCAGTCATAAATTCTTGTTTAATCCTATTTTACTTAAATCCCCTACCAAATACTCTTCCCTCAACTACATTATTGCAGCAAACCTCAACAGCATATCATTTTATTATAGATACATGAATTTTTTTAAAAAAGGAAAGACAAGATTACCCCTTGAGAACTGAACCACAGTGTTATTATCATACATAAAAATGTATAGAAATTCTTTAATATCATCGAATGCAATTGATTCTGAAATTTCCCTAATGTTCATATATATACAGATATAGGGTTTTAGTAACCATTAAGAATATTTGACTAGATCCATTGTTTTATTGGGGTGTTAGAAAATAATAATATTCTATCATTTTTTTTTCTTTATTTATTTTCTGGAATTCTTCTAAAATGAAGAACTTCCCCTTATCAAATATGTAGCTGATAATGCAGGAAAGGTAGAATACAACTTCATTCTCTTATTTACTAGTTTTCCAAAAATGACTTAAACCTCTTATACCTTCCCAAAGTAGCTAATAAACTATTTTAAAAAATTGAGTAGGATTCTGGATACTTTTCAAAGATACTTAACTCTTTGATCTATTATAGTACCCAATCCTTTGATGTTCTGTCTTTGGCCAATGGATACTCTTGGCTCCTGCATCATTTTGACACAGCTACAGAGCTTTGTGATGGTGCCTCTTTGTTCGGATATTGTGAGGTGTTTCAGGTTTGCTTGGCACGTTCCTACTCCAAACCCGTTATCTCTTGTTCTCCAAAGGGCCCTGGTTCCTTCCAATGGGAAAAGCATTTAGCGACTACAGTGAGGGTGCTCATTCTTAGTAGGTTGGGAAATATTTTTTCCCCAGTCCTTTGTAGTGGATGTAGCTAGGAAATAATTCATAGTAATATTGCTAATTTAAATTTAATTTTGCTAGGATTTTACTTAATGTTTTGATTTTATATTTATACCTCTTTTGTTAAATGATAAAAACTGGTTTCTAACATAACTGTGTATTTATTTTAACCACTTATAAATGTATGTGTGTATAACCCATCACTATTATTACTAACAATATTAAAAAGTTTATATATTTTTTGTTCATTGTTTATGTTTTTGCCTTTAGGATATATCCATCTAAGAATGAGTGAATTACTATGTTTTAAAGATTTATTTATTTTGCAGTACTTAGGACTGAACTCAGGGCCTTTGTGCTATATCCCTTCCTCTTTTCTAAAAATATTTTTATTTTGAGACAGGGTCTAGCTTAGTCACTAAATTGCCCAGGTTGGGCTTGAACTTTTGATCCTCCTGCCCCAGCATCCCAGCGTGCTGAGATTATAGGTGTGTGCCAGGATTCCCAACTTACTTTGAAGACATTGAAAATAAATCCTCTCTGTATGGTTAAACCAGAAACTCAAAACCAAAGTAGGTTCATTTGTTTACTTTCAATTTTTTATTTTTGTAGTATGCTTTTGGTTAAATTACACTTTATTATAAAACAAGGTACATTCAAAGAGTCTGGTTTCCATCCATTTCACTCACATTTTCTTCTTTTGCATGCTGTGTACAAATTTTAAATTAGTTTTTGGGTTATCTTTCCTTTTAATCGATGTAATAAAATATGTGAGGTTTTTTTTTGTATTGTCTCTTTTTTAGACAAAAAGTAGAGTATGATGCCTAATGTTCTGCACTTGTTTTTTTTTTTAATCTGATACTATATTCTAGACTTTGCTCTACACATTACAGGTATCATCATTCCTTTTTACAGCTGCTTATTATGCAGCTGAATGAACACCAGTTTTTCATCGAGCCCTGATGATGGACATTTGAGTGGATGTCGGTCTCATTTTTTCTTTTTTCTGACCTTTCTCCAGGGGGTTATGGAATAGATTCCTAGAAGTAGGATTACTGACCCCCGAATAAAAACATGTATAATTTTGCTCAATATTAATAAGTTCTACTGTATAATAGCTTAATGAATTTGTAATTTTTGATAGATTTTGAAAAATATCTGATAACACTTCAGGAAAAATATAGGGTTTTCTGATAATTTTTGAAAAGCCAATACAGGGATGGCTGTTTTTGTTTTTAAATAAAAAAAATTAAAACACCATTTCCTAAAGTAAGCGTAGGCCTTAGTTAATTAGCTTTATGTCATTTTACTTTCTAAATAGGAAAGACTTCTGTCTTTTTACTTATCGAAACTGCTAACTCAGCACCTTTCAGGTCACTTTCCAGGGCTTTTACTGAGCATTTTTCACGGGTAAGGACAAGTGCTAAATATTGGTGAGATGAGCAAATGAAGCAGCATAAGGGCTGCCTTCCCAAACTCACAATATGGGTGGGAGGCAGGCATATGACACCTGATGCAAGACAAATAGGCAAGTGATGAAACTGAACGTACTTTGAGGACACTGTAGAAGACAAAGTGTCTTCTGATCAGTGGCCTCTGGGAAAGTCCTGGGTGTTGTGGGATTTGTACTAACCTTGAGGAAACACTTTTATCAGAGGTAACTATTAGAATAATAGACATGGGGGTCAGAGAATGCTTAAGGCACTTCATTAGACCTCTGTGGCTGATCTGGGAGCTTAAGAGAGTCCTGCAGTATTTCACAAGATACACCTGTTTTTAAACTACGTTAACTGAGCCTTAAAAATCCATAGTGTTCAGCTGTTGATTCCTTTCTGAGTGATTGCTTTCCTCACTCAGAGTGCTTGCTCTGAGTGTTGGAAATGCTTGGAGCTCTAGTTTGTGTGATGAGAATCTCAAAGACATGCAGCCTGGAGTTTGACCTCCTAACCACAGTCTTGAGTCACTGACTTTGGGCTTTTCACTTTACAGTAGTGGACCAGTCTCTAAGAGACCCAGAGAGTGTTATGAAACTGAACTTTTAAGAGGAAAAAAGAAAAAGAGGAGAAGTCATAGGGTTAGGGTGTGATCTCACAAAAGCTTCCCAGTTTGTTTTTTTTTAGCTGAGAGACAGATGCACATGTTCATATGACAACCGTAGTGTGAGTGTGTGGGTGGAAGAGGTCGTGACCTAAGCTCTGGTTTCACTTGGTTTCCCCTTTCTTTCTCTTTCTGATGTGTCAATGACTTTCTTTGAACAAAGAGAAGTAAGTAGTTTTAAAAATTTTGTTTGGGTAAAAAGGTTATTAAAATGTAAATTGTACATGAGATGTTAAAGCAGAAATTAACGCCTCAAGGATTTTCCTCTCATTTATAGGTAAAGAAACTGAAGTCTAAAGAGCTTCTTACATTTTACCCAAGGCCTCATATCTAGTAGGTTACAGAACTCAGAGGAAAGCCCAGATCTTCATTCCTCCCTCTTTCACCTGCCTAATTTGACGCCCAATTTTACCATGGAGAGCTGGCATCCTTTTCTAATGGAGATTTAGTGATGGGCACACAAATCAACATTCAGAAGTCTGTTCTGCCTTTCTTTTTATGCGTTTTAAATATAGCATAATGGCCATTGAAAATAAATCATTGGATTCCAAACTCAACAACGTCCTTCAGCTCCAATCTCTCTTAAGTTACAAGGACATATTTCCATTTTATTGCAAATGTAACAGAAGCACTTTTACTACACAGTCAGCAGTTTAGCAAGACTGCTTCAAGTTTCAAACCTCTCCAGATTTATCTTGAATGAACTTGAAGTTGCAAGTGTGTAACCACTATCAATGTTGTGTTTTGACTATCTCAAACTGTCTCAAACTATAAATTTATGTGCTTTCTATTCTTTTCTTTTTTAGGACCAAATCTTCATGGAAAATGTAGGGGCTGTGAAGCAGCTCTGCAAACTAACCAACAACCTTGAAGAAAGAATAGAAGAATTAGAAATATGGAATAGAAAGCTGGCCATGCTAAAGGGGCTCAGCAGTTCCAAATCCACAGTCAGTCAAGCAAGTTCAATCAGGTATATGCAGCATTTCCACAGAAGTTTGGGGGAAAGAAAGAGTGGGCTCTTTCCATAACTAGATCATTCTAATTGGTCTATCTGATAATGAAGTCCCTTTTCTTCTCTTAGAATATTTTAGGAACACAATTGCCTTATGTGATAGTTTTCTTAATTTTTTTCTGCTGATTCTTTAAAAACAAAACATGAGACATCTTTTTAATAGCAGTTGTTATACTAGGAAAAGCTAAATTTTAGCAAAAGGATGTCTTCTCTTTTTAGAAGGAGAAGTAGTCATTTCTCAATTTAGAAAACCATTTTCAGTCCTGGTGGGGGGAAACTTATTATTTGTTTTTATTAATTAAGGAAGTAAGTAGTATTTCCTGGGATCTAGTTGCAAGAAAAAGAGAAATGTAATGCTTAATGTATTCATTTATGCTTGCTAAAGGTTTTTTACACACAGAGAGCTCCCAATTGTTGTGACTTTTCTTTTTTCAAAGTATCACTGTATTACAAAAGAAAATCATACTGCTGTGTTTCTGACAGCCTGGGCCTTTGTCATATAACTCTTGGAAAGGCATCTGAATAGTAATCAATTTTCTCTCTCTCTTTTTAAAGCAAACTTAGCAGAGCTGTTAGTACATCTTCTCCAAGAAGGGCTATTCCCCAAAATCCCAACAAGGTAAACAGACTTAAATTTATAATAAAGAGATGATATTTTCTATACAAAATAATAAGTTTTTAGAGAAATTGATCAAGAACCCCCCCCATTTATTTGTTGATAAATTTCCCTAGTTTTCATCCTTATGCATTCCAGGTATTTAGCTACTAACCCTTTAATGGATATTTTTAAAGAGCAGACATTTTGAGAAAAGGGTACAAAACACATTCATTTCAGAAATATTATCTTGCCAGTTTTTTGTTTATATTGTTCCCACCAGGTGAAATTCAAGAATTTCAACTTGCATATGGCCATGGGCTGCAAGATCCATGTTTATGACTTGACTTTACCTAATTCCTTATCTTTGGCTTCAGATAATCCCTAAAAGACTTCAGTTCCTCAAATCTCCTTTTACCCTTTGATATTTAATACTAAATATGAAAATGGGAGGATATTCACTTGCTTTCAAAGGCTGAAATGTGATGTTTTTATTAATGAATAAAAGCAACTTACATCAAGTAGGATAACACTTCCAGTACAAAGTGAGGGTTAATTGTTTATTAACTTGAAGGATGCCCTTTCTATCACAGAGATGTGTCACGAGGGAGAAGCTCTAACAGTCTTGGCCTAGATGCAATTCACAGAGAACTGTGAAATTCAGCTTGGTCCCTCTGATCCATCACTGGTCAAAAGGCGGCCCTTTCCAAGACAGAATATGCATGGCTTCATCTGTACCTTATTAAAGGATGACCTGACGCTTGGGATACACCTCCAGTTGCTCTCTTCATGCAACAATGGGTTGAGCTACTATAAAGGGATTCAGAAATAGTTCGAAATTTTTCTACTAAAAACTAGTAAAATATTACGTTGCTTACAAGCTTCTTGGTGTACCAATAAGCACAAACACATGGATATATATATATATATATATATATATATATGTTCTGGGCAACTTAGTCACATTGGGAAACATTATAGTTTCTATCTTACAAAGATTGTTGATAAGATTGCTAAAACTCTTTGCACAGTAAAACACAAAATACTAAAAATGTGTAGGAAAGATGTCTTTTGCACTAACCAATTTGCAATAGAATGCTAGGAATGGTATATACATCCATAGCAACCCTGATAGATGAAATTTGGTCATCTCCAATCTTTGTATCTTTATCTTACACTAAGAAAATAAAAATTCTCTTTGTTTCACACTTATCTCAGAATAGTAACTAGAATGGTCATGAAGTAGGCCCTGGGTCTGCCTTCCTCTCAGAAATATTTGTCAGATGAATACTGGAGTAGAGACCCCAGTCTGAAGGTATTCTCTGAAGGCTCACAATTTAAATTAAAAACATTAAGTGGCTCAGTGTTTTGGATGTGCGGGTGAGGTGGGACTTGGGATGTGGTCACCCGGTCCAAAATTTATGTAGTCATTAAACTTCAATTCTTCAGTCTTTATAAGAGGTCAGCAGGACGCCAAGATGAGTCAGATGTGATCTCTTCTCCTAAGGGATTATAGCACAGCAAGGGAAGAGGGGAAGAAAATATAAAGAATGGCTTTACCTAGATGTGATAAATACTGCAGAGACTCAGTGCTGCAGGAGTCTTGCAACAGCCTAGCCTGAAAGGCAGTGTGGTTTGCTAGAGAGCAGTGAGCCTAGGGCGATGTTTCAGATGAAATAGCATCAGCAGAGTTCTGGAGAGGGCTTCATTGAGGAATGAGGTGGGCGTTAGGGAGGATAGTAAAGATAAGGCTGAAAATATTTGTTAGGCTCAGATTCCCTGGACCACCAGCTTAGTTCATTTGCTAGCCATGAAGACACTTTCTAAAGTGATTCCTTCATGTTTTTACAGACAGGAAAAAGGAGGCTGCATATCATTGTATTTAAAAACATAGATTGCGGAGCCAAAGAATGTTAACTTAAATAATTTCTCTGTAACTTACTAGCAGTATGATCTTGAGTGAGAAACTTGGCTTTCTATGCCTCCTTTTCACTGTCTGTAAAATCCCCTAGGACGAGGACGGTAAAAGTACCCACTTTGTTTTAGGGTTGTTGAGGATGATTGTGAGGATTGTTCTCTACATTAGCGTATGTAAAGCACTCAGAAGAGTGCATGGTATGTGTTGGCTGTTGTTGCTGTCTTCAAGCTCACTATTTTAGTCATTCTCATACTTTGGTGTGTAGTAGAATCTTCCAGGGAGCTGGTAAAGTACACATAATGAGAATGTTTTGCTCCCCCTATGCTTTTCTTGGTAGGAGATCTCAGATGTTTCTAGAAGTTTACTCTCCCTCCCATACTACCATCAATCACTAGGTGACCTCTGTTCTTTGGGGCTCTTTGGGTGACTGAAATATATAAGTGTGGGTGGGGAGTGGTACTGTTTGGTTGAATGGGGGCTGCTAATGAGCAAGGTGCTTACTGTGGGCATTTGATGGGCCTTATGAGATGGTAAGAAGCCTGGCTAGGAACTTGCCTCAACTTCCACATAGCTCCCTGTACTGATCAAGACTCATTCTCGAGGAACATTGAGGTCTCCTGATCTAGTGTTCATCTAATCCATAGGGTTGCTCTTTCTTTGCTTTCTCCACCTCCAAGAGGTAGGTGGGTGACTTGCTATGAAATCACAGTGGTGGGGGTGAGGTGAAAAGACCCTCAGAGTTCAAGTTAGAATTCAGAGTATTTGGAGGAGATGAGGAGAAAGAAGAAATTAACATAGATAAGTATTTGTCATCATCTCACCTCTTACAGATTCCCAGCCCCTAATCCACTGCAAACAAAACCTATTGAAAAAGAATTTTCCAACATCGTTTAGGTTTTTAGCGGACTCCATAGTAATTCTTATGCATCTCTGAATTGGAGAACTATTCAGAGTAATTGGGTATTAATAGGACCACCCAATAACTCTGAAAAATGAAAGTATTATTTATTATTCTTATTTCATTGTTTGGAAAATGAAGACCAATGACATTTAGATGATTTGTTTAGGACCTAGTCAGACTCCAAGTCTGACTCCAGGCCTTGGGCCATTTTCCTATGCTTTGTGAAAGGATTTTGAGCAAAATAATGGAGATTTAAAATAATCTAGCAGCTGTGGAGTATAGGTTGGAAAGGGAAGAATTTCTTCTGTGAATACTACTTAACTGCAATCACTTCAACAAATTTCATAGAACAACTCCAGGGAGATGTAGAAATGATGTGAACTATTGACTTCTTGGTAATCAGACTGTCTTTCAGTGATATTTACGGATGATTCAGTTGTAATAGCCTGAAGGGGTTGTGTACTTGTTCAAAAGTGTGTGATTAATCCTACCTCCTTTTTACATTCTTTTAAAAAATTAGATAGTAAGCCCAAGAAATATAACTAAAAACCCATTTTAAGCTATTTTGTAATTGCCACCACCTTTCTAATACGCTTTCAACTGCAAGCATGATTCTAGCCTGCATCCTCAGGAGGAAGCAAACATAATACTCCCATTGCATTAGCAGGAAATTCATATTTAAGGATCACCTTAAATGGGCAGAGAACCTCTTTATCTGAATTTCCTCCCAGCTCCACAGCTGCCCATCGTGTGGAATCGATCCATTCTCTGTGTACAAGTTTTTATGTCAATATGCATCAATTCTAAATATGTGTCTCATTTACTTCACTAGCAACTTACTAATTCTCATCTCTCCTATAGTGTTGTATGCAGTAGTACTCAATATGTATTTGTTGAATAAATAAGACACAGGCCCAAGGCTGTCCTTATAAATAGGTATACTGATGTATTATTATTATAAGGGGTACTTAGTAAGAATTTTTTTGCCACAAAAATCTTTTCCGTGGTTTGTCATGATGCCTGAAATTCTTCCATTGGGATTTACTCCTTCAAACTGGAAGACTTTTTGATTTCCAAAATTACTCTATTAAGAAATGGACATTTGGGTTCTGGCGGTGTCTTTTGTCATAAAACTGCAAGGATAAGTGCCAAATACAGTAAGTGGCAGTGACATTTGTCCTGCAGGGTTTCAGGGAAATGAAAAACTGCTATAGTCTGGGATATCAAAGAAAGAGAGGGTCCTGGGGAAGGCTTTGAAGGAAAGTCTTTTTCAGAGAGATAGGGAAGGAGTGGAAACGTAAATTGAGGTAAGCACAGGCATCCTACCAAGGGGGACAGTAAAGACTCCTGTTGGGAACAGAACCTCAGGCTCCCTTCTCATAGCTGTTGTGCTGAGTTGTCATGTTCATTAATGAACCTTCTTGTAGGTTTATTTTTCAGGAAAAAAACTGTTGTGTTCTAACTGGATTTTCCAGACCATGGTTGTAACTCTCATCTCTGTGATGGCATTTTGGTAAGAAAACCTTCAGTGTGCTGTAACAAGCTCTTTTTTGTACTTCCTGCTTCCCCCGCCCCCGCCTCACATTTGAACTGGGGACTGACCTTCTATTTACTCTGAAGACAAGGAGCCCTTTAAACCAGGCAAGGACCTTAAAGTAGTGATGGTGAACCTTTTAGAGACCGAGTGCCCAAACTGCAACACAAAACCCACTTATTTACTGCTAAGTGCCAACACTGAAATTAAACCTGAATACTGAGGTTTTAGTTTAGAAAAAACAGCTCATACACTTGGTTTGCATGTTGGGAAGAGGGCTCTGAGGGGCCACTGCAGCATGCGTACCATAGGCTTGCCACCCCTGGCTTAGAGCCTTTAAAACTTATATATTAAAGAAAAAAGCAGGCTGTCTGTACTTAAATGTGAGATGATGGATTTTTTAAAAACCAACAGTTGTGTTTTAGTAGCAAACTATGCAGTGTGTGTGTGTGTGTGTGTGTGTGTGTGTGTGTTTCTCTCTTTTAGCTTTGCAAATAATTTTCTCCAGTTCTTCGTTTTCCTTCCTGTCTACTTGAGGGACAGGAATAAGTAGAAAGTCAATTGTAATCTACTCTTTTTAGTGGCCCATACTCACTAGGATTCTTCTGGATTCTTCAATGACAACTTTATACCAAAGGAATACCAAGATGGATGAGAATGAATCTAATGTGATAAAATTGTAGACAGATCTACTGAGGAGTTAAACCAAGCAAAGAAGACAGCAAATCGGGTGACTTTTGACCCTTATCCTGGCTGCTGCCTGGAGGTGGGACTCATCACCTTTTAGAACGCAAGTGCTTCTCAGGCCTCCGGTCTTCAGGCTCCTCCTGCTGCTGCTGCTGTGATGGCTTCTGGCTTTTGAGCCCAGGTCATCTTGCCTGTGTCCTCTCTTGGGGCCTTTGGAGGCTCTTGTTTTTCATTCTATTCACATGGGGGAAAGAAAAAATTATTTATGATCTTGAGAAAGCACTGGCTTCTGTTTTAAGGAGAGCAAGTTAGGGTTTCAAGGTGCTTCCTGTTTTTTTATTTAAAGCGTCTTTCCAGTTACAGAAGGCAGTGCAGGTCTCTGGGCCCTTCTCTCCCCTCAGCATTTTCACTTTTTTGGAGGGGTGCTGAGAATTAAACCCTGGGCCTTGAACATGCTACACACAAGCTCTGCCCATGAGCGTGACTTGCTGCTGCCCACTTGTAGGACCATGGCCAAGCATTGGACGCCACTCCACAAAAATTCCAGTGGGAGCCTTTGTACCTTTTTCGCACTCTCCTAAGTATTTGTCTTCTCCTGCAGGAATTTCCATGCAAAAGAGGGTGAGCTTCCATTTCTAGCAGACACACTTCACTTTCTCTAGATAATAGATTCCCAGCCCAATGGAAAGGTGAAAGGAAATTTAATTCGAGGTGAAGAGACTGCTTTTTAAGATCCTTATCAGATCTTTTGAATTCCAAAATTGTTGATCACTAAGACAATAAATGGGATGGACTAGGCTTATTATCTTGATTCTGGCGTATGGTATAACTAAGAAGAATCAAAACCAAGGTTTGCTGTGAAGAAGGGAGCAGATGTGCATTTCATTTGGGCCTAGAGCAGTGGTGGCAAACCTATGGCACGAGTGCCAGAGTGGGCATGCAGAGCCCTCTCTGTCAGCACACAAGCCAAATGTATGAGTTGATTTTTCTAAACTAAAACCTCAGCATTCAGGTTTAATTGCAGTGTTGGTACTTTTTGATCAATAAGTGGGTTTTGCATTGCATTTTGGGTACTCAGTCTCTGAAAGGTTCACCATCACTGGCCTAGAGTTTTCTGTGCTGTACCCTGAGGCAGATCCCAAAGACAAACCAGAAAAAGGATTTTAAAAGATTAGTAATGAGGAGGTGGAGAATGGAAGACATAGAACAAAGTAAAGAAGATTTCCCCACAGTGAAAGTTGCTGTGGGATACTCGGGGGATCACCTGTCTGGTGCATCTCTCGGCTCAGCACCCTTTCCCATGCAGGGCAGAGGCTGCTGGGCAGTCATCAGCTGCTGCTAAGAGCACTGGAAATTCATTTTTTATGAGTGGAATTCAAATGCATGTTGCATTTCTTTAAGTGTACTTAATGAAGGGAAATCTACCACCTTTGATGGGGAACAAAATGATGAGGAGTTGATGGAGAATCAGGTGTGAAGTCCAGCTGGCAAGAAGTCAACTCGGTGACTGTATGAAGCCCATCCCACAGTGAGACTATAAGCAACAGAATCCCTCTTGTGGCTCATGAGAAGAACATGATCTGTTTGAATGCATGAGCATTGTTAGGCTTAGCTGCCCAAATTCCAGAACCTGTAAGGAAAGCTTCTATTTGGAAATAAAAATTCTTGGAAGGAAAGACACCATCATTTTGAAGTCAAGTAGTATGGAAATGTGTGCTTTATTCCATTTCTTTTCCTTCCTCTGCGCAGTTTGGTATATTGTGCTATGAAAAGACAAGCAGCTTGAAGTTGTCAGAGAAGAGGCCAAAGAGTTTGGCATCCCCTGTGGATGTGTCCTTTCATCTTCCAGTGCCACTGTGCAGTTGACCTCCAGACCATCACCAGAGGGATGTGAACTCTGGCCAACTCATTCCTATATGGAGTGGAGGGCTGTCTCCAGCTATTTACATGCTTCCTCTTGTAATCTTCCACAAGTGACAGATGCTACTGAGACAGCCTGCTAGGCCAGGGGCTGCTACATGGAAAAATCTATCAGCATAGTAGCCCAGGAGCTTCTGAGCTGCAGGAAGCCTAAGCCTTTTTCTCACTAGGGCAGAAAAGCCTGACTGTGCTGGTTTCCATGGTGTTTCTGCCAGCTACAGCTGCCCTTCCCCCTCTCCCCATCCGTGTGGCCTCTGAGAGTACATCTTTGGCCAGCTGGATGTGTGAGATATATCTGGAAACAAATCTGTCACATAATGCTATTTTTTTCCCCCTTAACAGTGTCTTGACGATAGTCTTTCTTTACATACTGAGCTTAAAAGATCAGAACAAGCATTCCGTACATCTCCCTCCAAGGTGAGAATTCAGATCTTCTGTACCTTTGGGAGAGGGATTCATGAAGATGTCTTTCATTAACTATCTTGTCCTCCTCCTCTAGCAATACCACAAACTCTCCAGTGCTGGCCCTGCCATCTACAGACTCCCCCTCAGGTAAAGTCCACCTTACCCTCAAACCCAGCCCATCTTTCCCTCGAAATGTCAACAGAAGAAACCACCCTTTCTGCTAACCTCACTGCCTCCCTCCCCTCTGCCCAATGCCTCACAGGGCCTCATACATCTCTGGCAACCACAAAGACCTCGTTAGAAATACTTGAAATTACTTTTTGTGAGATTCTGCCATGTCAGGAGACTTACTGCTGTCCCATTTGGGGAATGAGAAGAACCTCTTCACATCCTGTGCAAAGAGAGCCTCAGGAGGACAAGGAAGTCCATCAGAGCCAAAGAGCAGGTAAATGATCTTCAAAGAGAAACAAGGCTTTAAGCATGAGGGTTTTTTCCTTGTCAGTATTTAAGGCCCTTCTTTTTTTGCTTTTTATTTATTTTTTAAAAATTTAATTTTATTCATACATTTTAGGTATGCAATATAATGACATTCATCATTGGAAATTTGCACCTTTACATAATCTCTCTTGGTTCTTATT